ATGGGGGGGGGGATTGTACTGTCAGTGCAGTTAGTATAGATTGACGTATGATGGGGGTTTTTGCACTGTCAGTATCGTAACAAACTCTCGAGGTCAGTGTTTTAGGTAAATATAGGGCATCTGCATTGATACCTACCATGGATTTGCTTCACTGGCGCCCACAGGTCTTAAAAAAGTAGAAGCGCAGAAGGATAAAATCTTCAGTGATAATAAAAAGCAAGCGCTGTAGGCGCGCTGCATGCTAGGGGGGTCTGGGGGCATGCCCCCCCCCTGAAAATTTTTGAATGATAGACGTCTGGAGATGCAATCTGGTGAGTCTTGCGAGAGAGATTTAGGAACAAAATGTAGGTACAAAATTGTTTAACCCAAAAGTTACTGGAAGCACTGTGCTTCCAGTGCTTCTATCTGCGGGCACCACTGATTTGCTTTATTCATTTGCTAATATGTGAAAACATGCCACTACTCTATAAATATTTCTATTTTATAAATAAGACATTTCCACGTTCACTTGCTCGTCTGCAGGTACCCGATGGACGTTGCTAGGCGACGGATGCAGCTGGCAGAGATGATGAAGGAAGGTCATGCATTCAGGTGAGGAGGCTGAGAACGAGACTCACAGATGTAGACGAGACGTCTGTGAGACGATGGCGATGTAGGCGATGGCGTCTCCTGAGAGGTTTCAGTGACGTATTGAATGCAGTTCGCACTGCGAGGGTAGTGTAAAACTGTATGAAGGGTTTTCATGGTCGCCCTTCATGGTCGGCTTTCATGGTCGCCCTTCTTACTTCCTGTGATTCCCAATGTGCCATGGAACCTCAAAGGTTCCAATTGAATTCAATGCAATTCTTCCCATATTCTTAAAACAAGGATTTCACGTTTTCTCAACTATTTTCATATTTTCTCAACCATTCATTTTCCGTTTTATAGCCTACACCGGCAGAAACTCATAGTGTTTTTTAGGCCGGAGTAATCGACAATACGTCCGCTAACAGATGACACCTAATTTGTTTAATCTTTGAATTTTCACACCTATTAATTCCCCCCCCCCCGCAATTAATTCACAAGGCGAACCATTTCAAACGTCGATAAATAACAGATAAATTATAAATAAGTACTGCTAGTAACTAACGAATAATGAAAGATCGCGCGCGCGCCAGGGCTCGAATTAACCGACGGCACCGACGGCAATTGCCGTCGGTGCCCCTATCAATTGCCGTACTGCCCTTGAAAATCCAACCCGATCGACGGCAGT